CCCAGTTAATCAGCGATAAAGCACGACGCAAGCTCTGAAAATCAGCGTCTTTATAGTTATATGCGGTACGACGTGACACAACGGCAGAACAAGACTTTGGAACACGAAATTCGCAGATTATGTCTTTGTGATCACTATCGAAAAGTCCATCCGTTACGTTAATAGATGTGCATGTTAAGAATCTAGAGAACAGCAGATCGAGCATATTCAGCCCTCTCGAGGGTTCAGTAACCCATTGTTTGAGTCCCAAAGTGCCACATTCGTCGACAAAGCGGACAGCTCTGACGGCCGCTCGCCGCGGCATGGGAACAACACCGTCATCGGTCACCGTCCACACAACCTCGGGCAGATTAAAATCACCGACCACGATGAGACGGGCACCGGGAGCCACCGACGAGAGTGCTGCGGCGACGGCTGTGAGCGCATCGTCGTCGCCGGGCGGCCGGTAGCAGACCGCCAGCGTAACGCCGATTCTCTGCAGTCTGAGCAGCAGTATTTCGGCTCCCGCCGGGTCCGGCAGCCGCACAGGCAGCAGCGACGAGCGTACCGCGCAGGCCACGCCGCCACCGAGACTCCCCCGATCGCGCCGGAACCATGTGTGGTCGTCGTAGCCGAGCTGCAGTTCGCAGTCTTGAACGGTGTCGTTTTTCTCACAGTCAATGACAATCCAAAAACAATGTAATAAGACCAGACGTTTCGACAACAAAGTGCCTTCGTCAGTGGAAAAACAAGATATAGGCTTTACATCGATAAAAAATATAGAAGACGACCAGCCTGCACGAAATACAGTTCTACTTTTTTGAAATACAGGTTATATCTAATCTCGCACTAAAATGTTGTATCGTTCTTCTGTCTAAACTATTCTGTAAGTTATAATCACAGCATTGACACATTGACACATTATAACAGAGACACTCCTATAGATATAGCTATTTGTTTTTTAGCACCATTTTCGCACCTATCCTGGACCAGCTGTAGAAGCCTGGTTTTATGTTAACAGTGTCTTCAAGTAAAATATATGCAGCTTCCATGGCTCTCCTAATCGGTTTTGGCATGCCCTTTTCCATCACTGTAGCTGAATCCCAAGCTGGAAGATGATGACACTTTTCTATATGAAGCACCATCGCATTGGATACATTATGATTTCGAACATCACGTTTGTGCTCTTGAAGTCGTGTTTTCAAACCCCTCCCCGTTTCACCGACATATGATTTTGAACATGGTCCAGAACAAGGTATCTTATATATAACACTGTTGTCTGATGTGTTCACCTTCTTCGGTCGCACTAAATCTTGAATCTTGGATCCTGAAACGATGGCTACATTGGTTCCAGCTGATCGTAGACTAGTCGCTATTTCGTTCGCTTGTTTCGAGATGGGAATCGTTATGAATCGTCCTCGTTTCTTTTGTTCTTGTTTTTGTTTCTTCTTTTCTTCTACACTCTTCCTCCTTATTTCCTTCGCCTTGTTTTGGAGCCGAATTAAGTAACCATTTGGATAATGAAGTCTTGTAAACGTTTCGTATATATGGGCGATCTCTTCGTCGAGGAATTCTTCGCTACAAATCCTGAATGCTCGGAGAAAGAAGCCGATGACTATGCCACTTTTTACGCGATCGCTGTGTCCTGAAAGGAAGTGGACGTAGTCTTCTTTATTTGTAGAAAGAAACTAGCCAGTTTTGATGTGAAATCCCTTTTCACGAATGTACCTGTAGAAGGAGCTTTAGAGGCGATCGCCAAAGCCGTTAATAATATAGATGAAAGATCTCTTCCTCTTCCAAAAGCGCAGTATATGGAACTAGTAACACTTTGCATGCAGTTTAACACGTTTACTTTCGGTGACACTGAATACGTTCAGTCAAATGGTTTAGCCATGGGATCTCCGTTAAGTCCAGTAGCGGCTTGCTTGTACATGGAAAACCTGGAGGAAGAAAAGTACAAACATATCATGGGCCCTGAGTGCACTTGGATTCGTTACGTTGACGACGTGCTCGTAATAGTTCCACACGATATGAACCTGAAAGAGGAGGTTATTGCCCTGAATGCCGTCGATCCGAAAATCCAATTCACAATTGAAACCGAAAACAGCGGAACGATTCCTTTCCTGGACACACTGGTTATTAGGTGCGGAAGTACAGCAAAATTTAAGGTATACAGAAAGCCTACAAATAAAGAAGACTACGTCCACTTCCTTTCAGGACACAGCGATCGCGTAAAAAGTGGCATAGTCATCGGCTTCTTTCTCCGAGCATTCAGGATTTGTAGCGAAGAATTCCTCGACGAAGAGATCGCCCATATATACGAAACGTTTACAAGACTTCATTATCCAAAAGGTTACTTAATTCGGCTCCAAAACAAGGCGAAGGAAATAAGGAGGAAGAGTGTAGAAGAAAAGAAGAAACAAAAACAAGAACAAAAGAAACGAGGACGATTCATAACGATTCCCATCTCGAAACAAGCGAACGAAATAGCGACTAGTCTACGATCAGCTGGAACCAATGTAGCCATCGTTTCAGGATCCAAGATTCAAGATTTAGTGCGACCGAAGAAGGTGAACACATCAGACAACAGTGTTATATATAAGATACCTTGTTCTGGACCATGTTCAAAATCATATGTCGGTGAAACGGGGAGGGGTTTGAAAACACGACTTCAAGAGCACAAACGTGATGTTCGAAATCATAATGTATCCAATGCGATGGTGCTTCATATAGAAAAGTGTCATCATCTTCCAGCTTGGGATTCAGCTACAGTGATGGAAAAGGGCATGCCAAAACCGATTAGGAGAGCCATGGAAGCTGCATATATTTTACTTGAAGACACTGTTAACATAAAACCAGGCTTCTACAGCTGGTCCAGGATAGGTGCGAAAATGGTGCTAAAAAACAAATAGCTATATCTATAGGAGTGTCTCTGTTATAATGTGTCAATGTGTCAATGCTGTGATTATGACTTACAGAATAGTTTAGACAGAAGAACGATACAACATTTTAGTGCGAGATTAGATATAACCTGTATTTCAAAAAAGTAGAACTGTATTTCGTGCAGGCTGGTCGTCTTCTATATTTTTTATCGATGTAAAGCCTATATCTTGTTTTTCCACTGACGAAGGCACTTTGTTGTCGAAACGTCTGGTCTTATTACATTGTTTTTGGATTGTCATTGACTGTGAGAAAAACGAAATGTCTGACTCTTCTAACTTGAACGGTGTCGTTAAGCCAAGATTCCGTGAATGATATTATGTCGTATCGCTCCAGGGTAGGAGCGAGCAGTCGTAGTCCACCGAGCTGTTTCTTCAGGCTTCGAACATTCTGGTTGAACAAGGTGATGGTTCCCAGTGCGTTCACACCAGAGCCGAGACGCCGCGGGCCGCCGCCGCCCGGCTGGCCGCCCCCACCGGCCGCTGGGCCGGTGGGGGCGGCCGAATCATTCGATTCGGCAGGTCTTCCTGAGTCCATTGGTGGCTTTCCCGACTCGCTAGCTTAATTTGATCAAAAGTTATTGACGAAAAACTAATATGACCTTGATGACGTCATAAATGACGTCACGCAAGGTCAACATTGCAAAAGTGACGCATCTAACCTTGCAAGGAGTGCATCAAATCACGATTCTGTGTGCTTGAGATAGTTGGAGATCGTTCCCGGCGCCAGAATAGCAGTTTTCATTTTTCCCCATTGACTTATAATGATGAGGTCACGAAAATGACCTGACCTCATATGAACTTTAGGAAAAATCCGAGACATACAAGTTGTGAGACTCATAATGGATACTAGATCCTGCAAGCTTCATTTCCCTGTGACATTTGCTCTGACAGTGAGGGCGTTGCGAACCTGCGACATCTGAAGACTGTGCAGAGGTTCACTTAAGACGTCATAGGTCAGTGACCTGACCAGACCCAAAAATGCGGTTGGTGTCAAAAGATCCGGCTTGAAGCAAAGGTCAGCTATGCCAAGTTTCACCTCTCTATCGCCAGCGTGTTCGGAGCTATCGTGAAAAAAACCTTATGGGGGGGCGGCGCCCGCCCCCCCCTCGGGTTAAAGGAAGAAAAGTTCAATATTGGGGGTCGTGGAAGCAAATATTTTCAGAAAATCGCGTTTTACACCTCATCACTAAAAATGTTATAACTTCTTTCTTTTCTGATCGATTTTGATGAAACTTAAGGGGACCCTTCTTCATAAAATGGGCCTTCATATATATATTTCGGTTTTTCGGATATTTCAAAAATCATAGGCAGAATTATCAATTAGGTAAGCTAATTTGGGATGATATTTTGAGTTTTTGTCATGGCATGTCATGCGCCTTATGCAGTGTTCGCCACGGGCCGCAAAATCCTAGTCCAGCCCAGCCCAGGCCCATGGGTTCCCGAGCCCATTCGTGGTAAAAGCGTAAAGCCTAGCCCAGCCCAGTCCGTCAAAAATGAATGGATTGAAAATTATTGATACTACACAGGTATCCAAAGGTAGCAAAGAAACATTTTTTGCGAGCAGCGCAGCATGCATAATGCACATTGCACATTGCATGCGTGCTATATTAACTTGTTTTTAAGTATTGCACAATAATAACTAATAAGCTATGTAGTTATATAGTTTCTGTCTCAGTTGCGACTTGCGAGCCCCTGACTCCACTTTACAGTTCTTGGCCCAGCCCATCCACAGCCCATCGATCCTTCATGTTTGAGCCCGTAGCCCAGCCCAGGCATTGCCTGCATTGGGCTGGCCCGGCCCATGACGAACACTGGTCTTATGACATGATGTATTACATATAATGTAAAATATGCAACGTTAGCACAAAATACACGTTTTCGTGAAGCATAGACGGATTCAGACACGCATGCCATTAATTGGAATTCATTTGCACTCACCATCATAGTTCATCAACAACCCACGATAAAGTTTTGTCACATCAGCTGACGCCGCCAGTCACATCAGCCATCTATGACGTCAGTGTAGGGGCGGCGCTAAAAATAGAGCGCGGGGGCCGGGAGAGGTGCGCGCGCGCCGCCAGAGCAGCGCGCCGTGGCCCGGCCGTCCAGCACGGCGCCGCCGCTCCACTGCTAACGGTGATCAGTGGTGATGGTAGTGATAATGGTGACGTGGTGACGTCAGCATGGGCTGTGTGACGTCATACTGCTCGCAAGGCACCTACAACATATCTGAAGGTAAGACAGTAGCGTTTGCTTGCCATCCAACCAGAACCTTACATGCTTAACCTACCCAAACGTTACCAGAATGTAAGAGCGTAACATGTTGCCATTGGTGCATCGTATAAAATATTTTTCTTACATGTACTCATTCTGGAACATACCTACGGATGCAATCATATAAGTAGGTAGGTAGTAGACCCGTGAGGTTGTGCACATCATAGCTGCAATAGCAATGGTATGTCTCAGCGTTACGTCTTTTCATTTCCCGCGCGTTTTTTTTTTTTTGGCATTCCCGAAACAAGAAGTAGACGCAAAACTGATGTTTCGTATAATAGTACCAAAAACCCTGCAAGCTCGCATTTAATTAAACCTAGGCAATAATCCAATTAGGGCTAATTTTGCTACCCGCGTGACTCGAATTGATGCGAGCCTATGTTATAAGTACCAAACTTGTATTATACCTACTGTGGAAAACACAGGGTCCTGATAGAGCACATACATACCCCAGAATCCAATGGAATTAGGAATCCCGTATGGCTGTTTGCCGCCTGAAGCTGGCGTGGCGTCCCTCGCATTTGTTTGTACTTGGGTTATTTTTGCTGGCCTCGACTCCAAACTCCAGCATAAACAAACGCGCGCCCAGCTGACGCGACCTTCCGCATAGCGTGCTTACTGCTTACCATACGCTAGGGACAGCGAGAGGAAGCTGTTGTACTCCTACATATATATTGCCTTGGTTGCATACCTACTTCGCTCAGAGAGGGAAGACGTCATTTCACCCCGGGATTTTAGGAGGGCCAAACAGACTGTTGTTAGTTACACACTAAAAACCAATTCGAGCATACACCCAGCCAGCAAAATTGGTCTGACCCGTAAATGGTTTTACTTGGCTACCTCCGGCACTTTACTGCGGCCAAAGTACGGGCAAGGTCTGGAGCTCTACTGGAGCTGACACACGATCCCAGAGCTTGCCCGCAACCACAGCCGGACTTTGCCGCATCATATATGATTTCAAGCTTTTACGACTAGACATCTTAATTCAAGGTAGGTACGTTTTTCGGCTACTAGTCGTTTATTGTTTTCGTTTCGAATTTTCGACCTTCGCATCGAGGTCGTTGTCAAGAAACATATAACAATGACAATGACATGCATCGTGAACACGTTTGAAAAATAGTACGGTCATCATATCTAAAAACGTGCAAGTATCAGCCGCATCAGCCACACAACACCTCAACCGTACTTTAGGCACAGCAAGCCAGAGCAGCTAAGAGACAGCAAGCATGCCAGGCGAAGTCAGTGAGGGGACCAGCCGGGCGCGGCTAAGTGCGCACGTTCAACTTTGGACTCTAAATTCTGCCATCGAACCGGCATTGCGCGATCGGAGGGTGGAGGGCAAGGTCAACGCAACAAGCTTGAAAGCTTCGCTTAGCGGGCTCTCTGTCCATGTTAATCCTTCCAATTAAAAGGTTCGGATTAAATAAATAAAAAAAACTGTTTACTGTCATGATATTCATGCATGAGTCCTGATATCAAGATGTTTGCACAGATGTGAGTGACATACATATACTTCGTATGAAATGATATCTCTCTCTCTCTCTCTCTCTCTCTCTCTCTCTCTCTCTCTCTCTCTCTCTCTCTCTCTCTCTCTCTCTCTCTCTCTCTCTCTCTCTCTCTCTCTCTCTCTCTCTCTATCTTTCTCTCTCTCTCTCTCTCTCTCTCTCTCTCTCTCTCTCTCTCTCTCTCTCTCTCTCTCTCTCTCGCGCCCATATTTTCTCGTAACTACCTACCCCTGACCTTACTGTTTCAGAAGGGCGTTCTGACAAGACTGAGCAGGAGGCGACTGCGTCTTCAGCCGTTCAGGAGCCACTTCAGGCAGCCTTTGAGGGGACAGACGCTGAGGGGCACGCAGTGCCACCGCCCCTGGAGGAACTGCCTGAGGCCATTCGACAGAGGGAGATCCAGGAGAGCTCCTGATTCTGATCCTCTGCCCAAGACCCGCGCAGATGAGACGAGAACAGCGAGGACATTGTGTCGGACTCTGCTCAGTGATAATGACGAACGAAGCACACAGCTGAGAACGAGCGCGGAGAATATGTGAAACTAATGTGGAGCTCAATTATTATCGCGCAAGGAACACGAACTCCCAAACGCACTCAGTGAGCAAAGCGTGACAAATCTATTGTCAAGATTGATTATAAAGTTCCGTGATTTTGCCGTTTTACAAAGACTTCAATCTCAATTTTGTAGCTCCCTGGAAAAATGATTGGTGCCATTCAATGCGTACCTACTGCGTAGTTAGTTCAATGGCGTACATGTGTTGTGTCGTCAATAATGTTTTGTCGTCAATAATGTTGTGACGTCATCATGTTAAGCAGCAAAGGCAGGCACCAGGTGGCGATTAAGGAAGTTTTTTATTTGTATTATGGTGCGACAAAGCAATATTGAAGTAACAGCGTACGCTTGGAGAACTTTGTACGATGAATGAACTTACATGTGCGTTGTGTGCGGTTCTTGGATCATGCGTGAGCCTTTATTGCTGTGCATTGAGTACAGTTTGATGCCATTTTGTATTCAGGTTTTGTTCTGTGAGCAATGGCAGACTTGGGACGCGGTCGTTATTAACTTTTAATGAATCACTCATGCAAAATATGTTTTCTTTTCTAAACCGTTTCATTAATATCCGTATTCACTGGTGGCTGATATATCAATATAATATGAATACATATTTTCTAGAATACATGGTAACACGGAGCAGGACAAATCCCTTAACCGGCGCGGCGCCCCGTTGAGGTGGATGGCCGAAACGGACCTTCCTGGCTCATTCTCTCGATATTTTCCGAAGAAACCACTCCAAATTTCGGTATCCTTCCACATGCTGTAAAAAAAACAACAATTAAAATATTATGATACGTCGGCTGCAAAAAAGAAACGTTGGAGTGGCGTTCGCCATAAATAACGCTGAAGAGATGTTATTACAAAACGGCCATGGCTCCGATTCCCCAAGTACAGGGTGTCCAGAAAAAACGGATACTATTATTTTTTGCTGTAATTCCGAAAATAAACACCTTACATTTTAAAATGGCACATGCTTGTATTCGCCAAAATATGGCAAAACAGACAGCAGGTGCCACATGGCATGTAAACTCTTTGGTTAGTTGCGGCAGCTCCTCAAAGCAGATACTCAATGTGAGCGGCCTTACGGCGGACCAGCTCCAGCACTAGCACAGTCTGCAGGTGACTGATGGTCATGTTGACCATCTCGGAGGGCAAGCAGACAACTTTCCAACGACGCATTACAGTGCTCATGAGTTTTGCCAAATCTTGCACTATAAGCACATGAATTTGGAACAAAATCGGCACGTGCGTTAATGAATGCGACTTAATTTCCGTAGTATCTTTTTTTTCTGGACACCCTGATTTAACTTTGAGCGTCAAAAATTTTGGCACTTAATTTTCTTAGAAAATGACAAACACTAAATGTTTTTTAAACTAAAATCGGCGGATAAAAACGTGAATCAGCACACTTAATTCTGAACCATAAAAAGGACCCTCGAATGATGATAACTCTTGGGCCCGAGAGTGATGAATTATTTTCCAACTCGGCCTGCAGTCGTTCCGAGCCATACATCGCAAGCAAAAATTAGACAACCACCAGATTTCTAGTGGCCAGCTGTTGCGAACTAATACCTGTTTTCAAAAATAACGGCTTTAAAATAAAATGTCTTTTGACATTATCTTGACCGGACCTCGATGTGGACTTGATTGAAATGGTCCAAGTAGTGGCCGTAGTGGCCAGAAGTTGTCGATGAATTTGGACTGCGAAAATTGCCACAAAATAGTTCCAGTGTCAGCTTCAGTTTATTTCAAAGCTCCACGCAAAACGAGGCTTTTAACTCTTTCACGTCATTCAATAAAACGACAGGAATAAAAGTGCTGGACAAGCAATCACTAACGCAGCTCACAATAGCACCTCATGCACACATAACATATAACTGCACATGTAAACGCATACATTCATTTCTAGGGAAGAGCACAAGCACTCACTCATTGGCTCTAACGGCCGCCCGCATCGCTGAGCGGAGTTTGGCAGCGGTGGGATCCCGGCGGTGACCGTTCATCAGTCTGACGCCACAGCAACACAGCCTTCGCCGGCCAGACTGTGCGTATGCGCGGCAGCATGCGGTTTCCAGCGCGGCGCGTGTCGTGCTGGTGAGTCTCAGCTGCCCGTGGACCGGTGGTGCTGTATAGGTGTGCTGGCTCCCCATACATGCGTCACACGACCTCAATGTATAGATATGAAGGTTGCTTGACCACCTGACCTGGTAGCAGTAATGTCACAAAACAATACACAGCAGCTAAAGCGAGAGTTCACTGCCGATAGACAATGATTAAGTGGCTGTTCATTTGGATGGTTTCAAAATTCAAGCGGCCATCGATATTCGATATACCAGCCAAGGATCTAAAGGTGTCCCAGTTTCATTGACCCAGGTGCCGCCGAATGCCGATGATGTCACGGGTCAGGTCAAAATGGATCTTGCTATACCTTTGGGAGACTTCCGACAAACATGCTATATTATTAACCCGCGCCATGCTGGTGGTGTGAGTTTTCATGTCGTGGGGGGGGGCGTTTTCACGCCCCCCCCCCCCGTCTAACTTAGCTCCTGTTCCACGTAGCGACACGCGCGGTAAGCGGCAGTCAAAAGAGCGCCAAAAATAATGAAGAAAACACTTTAACCCGCGCCGGGCCGGTGCTCCGCGACTTCCGCGCCGGGCCGGGGATGTCTGAACACCCCCATCTAACTCGGCTCCTGGGCTACGTAGCGACACGCGGTAAGCGGCATTCGAAAGAGCGTCAAAAATAATGACGGAAATACTTCGGTCGTTTTTTGGGGTCAGGTCAAAGGTCAGGTCGCCAGAGGTCATCAAAGGTCAATTGTAGTCCATTTCAACAGTTTTGGAAACTGCCAACGGCTAACTCGGGAACCAATAGAGCTACAGCGCCGCGAAAAAGCGCATTCGATAGCCCGATTACAGACCTTTCTGAGTATTGCTCTCAGATTTGACCTCAGGTCAACGGTTTAGCCTCCAGAGGGCAAAAACTGTAAAAATAGCAGTTTTGATGAAAATGGTTTTTCGTCAATAACTTTTGACTTCAGAGAGCCACGACATTACTTTTGGCAGCATCGTGTTCCTCTCGTCGAAACGCGTCGAATGAACTATATGTTGGCCTTGAATGGTCATTTTCAAAATTTGACCTAAGGTCAAGGTCATGACCTGACCGGAAAGGGTCATGTTGCACATCAGTCGATCCGTATCGTCGAGCTGAATACGTCTGACGTGTTTTCATCGCTCTAGCACGTCTTGATCAAAAGTTATAGCCAAAAAAAAACTGCTGGTGACCGTTCATGACCTGAGATGACCTCAGGGGCACACAGAGGGGTCACAGGTGCATTTTTCCGATTCAGTGTGTCATGTTTACCTATGAGCCGATGTTTTTAAGTTTTAGAACGACGTTCATCCAAAAGAGGCGTACCTATTTCAATTCTCTTCCATTGACTTATAACGGAGACGTCGCAAAATTAACCTGACCTTAGGTCACAGATGTCACAATTTCGAAATATACATTTTATACATAGGTACTATTAAGTGTTACTCTTATCAGTCTATGAAAGTTTCAAAGCGATCATTCTGTCGGTGTAGACATAGCGACCATTGGAATTTTTATGAGGTAATGTCACTTGACGTGACCTAGTGACTTGGTCTGAAATTTTCACAACATGTGCAATGTGCATTGTGCAGAAAGGATGTGTAAGAACAGATGTATGTAGGTATTTGCGAAAACCCCGAGGGGGAGGGGCGTAATACGTCCCTTCCCCAGCACGGTGCGGGTTAATTACGCCACTTTTGTCCCCCAACGGCGGGTGGGGTCCGGAAATGGTCCAATGAGGCTCGGACTAGTCTCTCAGGCTCGGCATTGAGGGCATAAGTTTTATACTCCACTAGCTTATCCCATAAGGAAGAGATGCTAGAACAGAAGCCGATTACAGCGACCACTACGTGACGGTATGGATAACTAGCTACTGTCCAGAGGCGAGCAGATGGCAGCACTATGCAGTGTTAGAGTCGCCTGAGGGCGGCGGCGGCAACACTTCCGCTGCACTGGGGCTGAGCTGAAAACAAAAATGCATTGACCAATGTCTAACTAGTGTCATATTGGGATCAACTAGCATGGCTGATGGCAAATGCACATTCAAACAAAATTAAAAATGTACTTAAAAATGAAAACGTCCATATTGATCGTTGTTGCCCCCTGGAGGAAAAAGCCATTGACCTTAGGTCAGATACCTATGAAGTCTGATGGCACGATAAAGAAAGGGCTCAAGATGAGCCATTCGCCCTGCCCTAAAAATTTGATAGGTTTCAATTTTTCGACTGTCCTGTTTCATCCTCAGGACGGTCAAAGCCTTCTGTTCCACACCTCTCCAACCCCCTGATTAGAACTGAACGGCCACTTTCATTCGACACTAATAAAAACATGGTTCATCAGGAGCAACCTCACGTGAGTTCACCGCTTAGCTAGGCTGGTCGACTTGTCCACTGTGACGATATCAACCCCGGCGATGAATCGGGGTGGTCGCCCACACCAATGTCCCTTATTCCTGTCACCCTTCCGGCTCTGAAAAGGCCTCGCTAGACGGTAGACCGGACATAAGCGTAGGAACCATGGGTGCAAGGGTGCAGCTGCACCCACAATATTTCTCCAGTGGGTGCAGACAATGTATTCTGCACCCACAATAATCTGAACCAAAAACCCCTTTTCTCATCAACACTACTTCCCAAAGTTCCCATGCAGCACGGCAAATTCAGGATATGTTGCCTACTATCCATCTTTCGAAGCATTTTCTACTGTGATGGTCTACTGTAGACCCACTGTCAAAATTTTTAGCCCGATATCTTCGAAAATGGCTAAGTTGGGCGCTTTTACTTTTTGCGGTAGTCAATATTGACAAAATGACAATATTAACCCTCGCATGTGTGCGGCGTTTTCCAGCTTCTAATGTGTAGGGGGAGGGGGGGAGGTCGGTCGGACCCCCCCTGCCGTTCGGCCCCTGATCGGGCTAGAGCTTCGCGGAAAAAAACGAGGGTGTTGCCAGTGACGAGAAGAAGCCGATGATACCCAATTTTAAGGTCTTAGGTCATTGGTTGACCTTCCAGGTCAGGTCAATATTCCAAAAGTCGGGAAAATCGGGACCTGCTAGAACTGCGTAAAGTGAAGCTGTTATCGGTTTTTTTCGGGGTGCTGATCACGAATATCTGATGTTAGTTTTGATCACAGATGATTTCTTCATGCATTTAGGCCAGATCGGGTCAGGTCAGGTCAGGTCAACCATTAGGCGTCCTACCGGCTATCCATAGTAAGTGTCAACTACCACTGACGGCGTCGTAGCATGTTACGAAGGCACTAAAACTACTTCGTAAACGTTCAAATGGATGCTAAATTCGAAATCAGCCCGATAAACTACCGTAGTAACATGTAAAACTCGAAAAAGTGAACCGAGGTCATCAAAGATCAATGACCTGACCTGACCTTCAGGTGACCTTCACACCCACCGTGATGCATGGGAAGAACATCATTTCACACGTTT